CACACAGCCCTCACACACCTGGAGAGCTGAAATTCTTACATCAACTGCTCTTTCTGGATTTCTCCTCAGCCTTCAACACCATCATCCCACAGACCCTGGTGCAGAAGCTCTCTTTTCTTGGAATGAGTCCCACACTGGGGAACTGGATTCTGGACTTCCTGGCCAACAGACTGTCAGGATCAACAACACTGTCTCCTCTTCCATCACCCTCAGCACTGGCTCGCCCCAGGGCTGCGTACTGAGCCCCCTCCTGTTCACTCTGTTGACAAATGACTGCTTGGCTAGACACCCCAGCTGCCACATAGTGAATTTTGTGGATGACACAGCAGTAGTGGGACGCGTCACTAACAATGATGAGTCCAATAGAGAGAAGGTGGAACACCTGGTGCAGAGACAGTAATCTTTGCATCAATGTGAAGAAGACCAAAGAGATGGTGGTGGATTCAGAAGGATTTCACAAGGATCCTCTTCATCCCCTACACATCGGAGGAGCAGCTGTGGAGGTGGTCTCCTGCCACAGGTACCTGGGGGTGCATATATCCAGTGACCTCACCTGGAGAGCCAACACTTCCTGTCTGGTCAAGAAGGCCCACCAGTATTTCTACTTCCTCAGGAAGCTGCGGAGAGCTGGACTTGGGAGCACTGTCCTGAAAAGCTTCTATCACTGTGTGGTGGAGAACATTCTCTGCACCCGCATCACCGTGTGGCACGGCAGCTGCACTGCTGCTGAGAAGCTGGCTCTGCAGAGGGTGGTTAAGTCTGTACAGAAGACTGTGGGGAGCAGCTTTTCCACCCCCTCGGACTTCTACACATCACGATGCAGGGGGAGGGTGCTCCGCATCATGAAGGACTCCACTCATCCTGCACAAAGTCTGTTTCAGCCCCTCCCCTCAAGCAGGCGGCTGAGGAACATTCAGAGCAAGACCACCAGGCTCAGAAACCATTTCTTCCCTGCAGCTGTCAGATTTCTGAACTCGAGCTGCACTTAATTCAGCTTCATCTTACTTTTTTTTTTTACTTTTTTATTTTATATATATATATATACACTCTTGTATTTATTTATTTGTTAATTGTTAGGCTCCTTGATCTGAGACATGAGTCCGAATTTGGTAAAAAAAACATGCAAATGTTGAGCTGGTATGACAATAAAAAAACCATTGAATCCTTTAATCTTATCACCATCAAACTGGTTGGCCCACTATGTGAGTGTGATGCTTGTGGGACTGAGTTTGTTGTAGCTCCTCGGACTGATGAAGTCCTTTGGATGAAAGGTAAAACGTTTCAACAAGTTTATTTGTTTAATCTGTCCAGAGGACCTGACTTAAAAACATAAATGTTTACAAAAATTCAAATTGAACTTTACTGGAGAACTTCTTTTGTTCCCAATAGTTTGTAGGAAAATTGTCTTGGGAGAAACCAGTATACAGTGCCATAAAGATTGGGGATGGCTGATAAACCAACAAGGGTAAAAAGAAGCAAAGAAAGAAACAATAACGGCAGAGCGGATGAGTTAAAAAGTTGACGTGCGACAAGTTTCTCCAGTTTTTGATTAGAGTTCTGAAAGTTGTCTGAGGAGACGAAGAGCAGCAGGTTCTCTGGGCTCAGCGTGAGGGTTGCCCCTCTGCAGACATCCTCATTCTTTCAAGTTTGTCAGCACGCAGACAAAGACACCTTCACACACTGTTGGAGAACTCCTGTTCTATTCTGAACTTCTCTCACATCTAGAGACAATTTTAGGCAAATGAACAAGCTTCCTCAATGTGCACATGCACGGTACGCCACTCAGACTCCGAATTTTACCTTATTTCTGATTTTTATTGCTCGCCGCTGAAGGCAAAGGTGGAGTGGTAATGATTTTGCCTGTAACTTTTAGTTTGTTTGTCTATACTGTTAGCAAAATATCACTTTACAACTGGTTGGATTTGAATGAAACTCTCAGAAAGTACTCATTGGATGAACATCTTTGATTAGCATTTAAAGAGAATCCCTTTTAGCTAAGCAAACATAGCCAAGACAAAAACAGCTATAATTCAGACAGATTTTAATGAAACATTCAGAAAGTAGTGATTGGATGTACATCTGCAATTGATTAACATTTGGAGTCAACCCAATTCAAAATGGCTGCCACAGCCCTGAAACGCAGCTCATAAGATCAGGTTTATGTGATTCATGCTGAGACCCATCTTCAATAGCATTAGAACATCTCATGGAACGCATGGACTCATATATCCACAAAGTTTGACTCTAACCGTTATGCTCGTTAAAGTGAGTGCAAGCTGAACACGAATGAATAAATGAATAAATAAATAAACATGTAGGAAATAGCCCTGGTGTTAATTTACTAAAAATAAAGAGTCGTCAAATATGACAGTGAAAGAATAAAACAATGCAAAAACATATCTGGAAAAAAAAACTAACTACCTGTCAATTTTATAGAGAAATGTTCAAAGAATAACATTAAGCTGCTGAAGTAAAAACAGCTAGTTCTAATCAAGCAGAAAGCTGTGCTGAGAGGCTTTGGTTTCCTTTTTACTGTCAACTCCAATTGTTACGTGAGCAGTTTTAAAATACCATCTACAGATGTGTTGTACCTTAAGAAACCAATATCTCTCAAATGTATATGAATTTCACATTCCAAACTTCTGATTTATCATTCAGATATTCAGTGCCTGTGCCAATTTAAAAAAAACCTGCTCTTCCACTTTTGCTTTAGAGCAATAATGACATCTAGTGGCTGGAAAGGGGCCAAATCTGGGAGAAAAAAGACGGATGATACTGTATCTAATGTAAAGTTTGTCTGAACTTCAGTGAAATAATCTACTTTTCTGCGGAGCTGAAAACAGACAGTGTGGTGGATTTTCTGAAATAATGGACTCAAGAGTTGAAGTGAACTCAAGTGCCTTTTGTGGTGGTTTATTTTAAAAGAAATAATAGAAAATTCAACAGGTCACAAGTTCAACAGAGCTCCGTGTCTGCAGAAGTTGAGGCCACCAAAAAGATGAGAAGAATAGATTTGCCTGGTTTGCTCGATTAGACACAGATAAAAGTAGCTTTATAGTTAATTAAAGAAAACGTGACATTTTTAACTGTCATGCCATGTTGTTGGGGTCAGCCTCCCCTCCATCACAGACATCTACACCTCCAGATGCAGGAAGAGGGCCACCTGCATCATGAAAGACCCCACTCACCCAGCACACACACCCTTTGCCCCATTCCCCTCAGGAAGGAGGTTAAGGAGCATTAAGTGCAGAACCACTAGTCCAGGGATCTGCAACCTTTACGAGCAAAAGAGCCATTTCTGCCCCTTTGTTCACTAAGTTAAACGTGTTCAGAGCCACAATACCTGTTATAACTGGGATTCTCAACTGGTGGCCTACAGACCACTTTAAGTTTGTTGGAGGGTGCTTTTCTGGACAGTAGGGGTTATTTTATGAAAATAAAAATATCTAATGAGTTTTAACATTTATTTATATTTTTACACTCTAAGACAAAATAAAAGATGAGATTCTTGTAAAAAAGGAAAAATGAATGTAGTTTTTGCCCATGTTCTAAAAACTAAAACAATAAACTATGCATTCTTGTGTGATTTTTTTTTATTGTAGAAAAATTACGTATCCTACTTTGAAGAAATAAAGCATAAAGTGAAAGTGAGTATGTTTTACTCCTTGTACTGTTTCTAGTATTCATATATTTGCAAAATGAATTACAGGAAAACTGCTAAAACTAGCCCTTTTAGTTGTTGTTGTTATAACAACCAATAAAATTCAGTTTTATGTCAGTTTTGGTCAAAGCTTGAAAGAGCCGCTGCAGAGGGACCAAAGAGCCGCATGTGGCTCCAGAGCCGCAGGTTGCAGACTCCTGCACTAGACTGAGGAACAGCTTCTACCCTAAGGCTGTTAGACTCATGAATCTCCAACCAGAATAATCACTGTGAAAAATCCCATCATGCTGCTGCTGATCTGTTTCATGTTGCTGCTGATCTGTTTCATGTTGCTGCTGATCTGTTTCATGTTGCTGCTGATCTGTTTCATGTTGCTGTGTTCATTCATGCTCATCTGCTCACACAGACTCACGTTCGTGCTGCTGTTCAGAATATTGTTTTTGGAAAGTGCTTAGTGTGTTTTTAGTTAACGTTTTTCTTAGTTCATATCTTAGATCTTATTACGGTTTTTATTTTACATTTTATACTTTTGTTGGATGTAACTGGGACCCTGTGTACACAGTTTTGGTCCAGCACATGTACCGCATGTGGTGCGTATGATAAATAAAGAACCTTGAATCCTTGAATGATTCCACAAGTATGACAGGTTCTTTCAATTACACAATATAATTAAGGCAAACAAACAACAAAAATATTCTAAGGACTCAGTAATAGAGTAATTATATCAGCAAAACAGTTCTTTCAAGCTAAGCTAAATGTTACAATCATTAAGTCTAAGTAGAACTTTTTATAGAAGTAGAAAGTTCAGCTTGTTCAGGACTTCTGGTTTTTGTTACTTTTATACATTTTGAACAATTAAAATGTGTTTTTAATGTCTACTTCACTATGCTAGCTTCAGTTTAGCTTTTAGCTACTTTTTTTTGCTAAATTTAAATTTAGCTACTGTTTCGCTGGACTCAGCTTAAACGATCAAATTCAAGAAATTTGAGCAATTTTATTCAGCGTTCAGCTTTCTTACTGCATTTTAGCAGTTAATATTATTTCGAGTCATTGTTGTCATTATTGTTATTAATATTATTCTCATTACTTCTACAGCAAAGTGTCCAGATGTAAAGAAAATCCCTTATTTACCTAGAAGTCCCTCAGCATTTTGCCTGTATCTTAAAAGTAACGCCATGATCAGATTCTGCAGCTGGCCAATCAGAAATCAAAACAAAGCTGCCGTGTTGAGGAGCCCAACGCTGATTGGACTAAATTTCTGTGACGTATCTGCTAACGCCGTGTTGATTGGTCGTTCGTCTGCGTATAGTTTAGCACACGCCCCCTCCGTTTTAACCAGAACCTAGCAACCTGGGAAGGTAGGTAGCGCCGCTATGTTTTTAAAAATAATAATAGTAAAAACTTAACGTCAGCTTTATAATATGACGCCAGCTTCTTATTTGATTGCATTAGACATTTATGTGTTCTCTACAGTCTGTTGTTGTAATAATTTTGCCGTTTTTCTCTCATAACTTGTCATCTTCTGGTTTGTTTTGCTAACTTTCCTCATTAGCTGCGGGCGTCTCACTTTGTACTTTCCCTGCATTTCCTCGTAAAGAGGGTTTAAAATAAGCTGCCGACCTGTTTTAAAACGTGTGTTTTATTCTCTGTAAGTTAATCGTCGTGTCGGTGAGTTCAAGCTAAATGATTATAATTCCTCTAAAATGAATCATGGCTCTTTTCTGTGCGCTCTTCAGATTCCTCGGGTCTAATTATTATTAATTGCACCACAGTTCAAAGAGTTCTGTTCTTCACTCTTTCCCTTTACAATCAAACTTGTAATGGAGCTCATAAAATGGTTGATGAGACTAATAAATGTTCTCATTTTAGTGTAAGAAAGGTAAATCTGTCTAAACCTATTATTTAATTAAAGTGCCATGAAATCAGCACTAACTTGGAAAAAACATTTGTCATTTTTGATAAGGCAACAAGCTTCAAAATTGTCAATAAAAGACTAAAAAGGGCAATTAATTTGATGGTGTTGTTGAATCTAATACAACATACAGTCATAAAAACTTTAAAGTAAAGTTATAGTGCACCCTAATGTTCCACACATTTTAAATTCTGTCCTTTTGTTTCCAGATCTAATCATGGACCTTGTGCTGGACGTTGCTGATTATTACGTCCTCACCCCGTACGTGTACCCTGCCTCGTGGCCCGAGGACGGGGCCCTGCGGCAGATCCTCAGCCTGTTGGTGCTGACAAACCTCGGGGCTGCGGTCCTGTACCTGGGCCTGGGAGCTATCAGCTACTATTTCATCTTTGACCATGAACTAATGAAACATCCACACTTCTTGGAGGTATGAAAGCCTGCGGCAGTAGAGTGGCTGCTTGAGTAAATAGCCTGCAATCAGTTGAACTTTGGATCTTGAATGGTCGGACCGGTTTTAGGAACACCTGACGGCTTTTATGGTGACTAATCTGTGGTTGTTCTTCTTTGAACTGGATTGTCTTTTTAAATTATTTATGTTGCTGCTGGTTTAATCCAGGGGCATCAGATCGTGGTCCTCAAGGGTCACTATCCTGCATGTTATACACGTTTCCATGCCCCAACACACCTGATTTGAACCAATGGTAAAAAAAAAACCTCTTCATGTTCTGCAGAAGCCTATTATTCACCCATTGATTCAAATCTAGTGCTTCTTTGCTGTACTAATTATTAGTAATGATGTAATACTAAGTTTGTTCTTTTTGCATTTTTCGAGTCTGAAAAAAAAAATCTCACTAGTAGAGATTCGTTTGCGTTCAGTCCGTGCCTCTTTTCAAGCAGAAACTAATTTAAATGTTCCAAGACGATGATGAAACTACTTTATTCCTACTGTAAACGTGTGCAGGATTGAGCTTTACTCGTTTAAAAGATTCTGAGTTTCCAAAAACAAGTACTTTCGAGATAATCCTACAAGGTGCGTTTTACAAAATTTGACCAGTTTAGATGTAAAATATAGATTTTTCTGCTAAAGTAAATAGTGATGTTTTGTTGTGCTGTATGTGGACAGTTAAATGGGGCAGAGGCCTCCATGTTCAGCTGTCACCCTCTTACAGTTCTGTTACTGCTTCACTCAGCCCTCTGTGAATAGCAAGCAGCCATCAGGGCGCTAACGATCCATCGTTAGGCTGATGGTCCTCCCTTTGCATGTGAACAACTAGTTTTATCTGTCTCCAGCAAACTGGTTGATCCACTGTGTTGCAGCTCCTCAGACTGAATTATTTTGGATACGTTTCAACAAAGAAGAATCCGTCCAGACGACCTGACTCGACCTTGTTAGATTCATCTACTTGGATTACTGAGCAGCATCAGACGAGTGAACAGTTGACTAAAGTAATAAATGTCTAGATAAAGACTGTTGTGGAAAAATCAGATTCACTGATAAGAGACGAAGTCGTCCTCGTTGGGTGTAACAGAGTTGTCTCGCAGACTGAGTATCCTGTCACAGTTCGATGTTGGCTCCTGCTGCCCTCGAAGTGAAACAGCCTTTCAGTCATGACGGGACTGATGGCGTTACATCACGCTGACGAACTTCGTTCTCGTCGTGAGCGTTTTCTGACAATCTGAGGTGAGACAGATTGAACCGCTTGGATCTGTCTCATCCCTGGGACGTTCTGCTTGACATTTGTAGTAAAATGTTTTAAAAAATCAGTAGTGTCTGTTAACTTTTTTGCAACAACAATCGCCTGAAGGTATACACACAAAAAAAAAAATTCTTTCAGGACTGTTTGTCCCGTTTCATTTATTCAAAGAAAAAAAAAATCCAAATCTGTCAGAACAAGCATTTCACATTTTTTATTTTAGTTAAATGAAAGTAGCATTTCTTGAAAGAATGTATATCACCTGCCGCTGTGCATGTCTTCTTCATTTTCTTTTGGCTTTTCCCTCTTCAGGGGTCGCCACAGCGAGTCATCCTCCACCTCACTCTGTCCTCACTCCAACTACCTCCATCTACCTCTCTAACTGCCTCCATACATCTTCTCTTTGACTTTGTCCTGGCAGCTGCATTTCAAACATCCTTCTACCAGTATACCCACTGTCCCTCCTCTGGACATGTCCAAACCATCTCAGTCTGGTCTCCCTAACTTTATCTCCCAGTTGTTCAACCTGTGCTGTACCTCTGATGATCTCATTCCTAATCTTATCCGTCCTTGTCACTCCTAAGAAGAACCTCAACATCTTCATTTCTGCTACTTCCAGTTCTCCTGGTTTTCTGTCCATGTCTCCGTCTCCAGACCGTACAACATAGCTGGTCTCACCACTGTCTTGTAAACTTTTCCTGTGACCTTTGATGACAACCTTGTGTCACGAATCACTCCTGAAACTTTTCTCCATCCACTCCATCCTGCCTGGACTCTCTTCTTCACCTCTTTACTACACTCCCTATTTTCCAGGACAGTGGACCCCAAGTACTTGAAGTCCTGCACCTTTGTGACCTCTGCTCCTCGTAGCCTCACTGTTCCACCGCCCTCCCTCTCATTCACACGTGCACTCTGACTTACTACCTGACTTTCATTCCTCTTCTTTCAGGTGCATACCTCCACCTCTCCAAGTTCTCTTCCGCCTGTTCCCTGTTCTCACCACAGATCACAATGTCATCTGCAAACATCACCTGCCGCTGTGCATGTAAAAATAAAAAACTTGTGGGATCTGTTGGCATTCAGGGTGTGTTGGGAATAACTCTCAGCTACTACCACACCAAAATTTAGCTTAATATCTATAAAACTGTCTGAGTTGTATCCATTTGGCTAATTATATGTGGCAGTCATCTTAAATCAGGTCCACTCCAAACGCTGCTCGCTCCCTCACTATCCATCCTTTGGTTCAGACAGTCTTATACTGCCATTTGGTGGCCGAAAAAAGGTAATACACGCAAAACAAATTAAATATTTCTTCTTACATTTGATAATGACGACTAATTGTCAAATTTCAAACAGTATTATTGTTTATCAAAATAATTTCTGAGACAATTTATCACCCAGCAAACTTTGTTATCGTGACAGGCCTAGTTTGAAGATTATAAAACCTCTATCAAAACATTTTCTGCCAATTTACACCAAATGTGTACATGGACATGAAAAGTGTCCCTGAAATCTAAACGGATGAGTTAAGAAGAGCAAAGGTTTGAAGTGGAAACGATGTAGGAACCCTGGTTGGTGCACGTGAATACAGAATGCATGTTTTTGTGGTTAGTGACCACCACCACCCTCCCACCCCACCCATCTGTAGGAGCTCTCTGGTTGTCTGAGAATATAACGAGGCCAAAAACCACGAGGACACTTGCACCTATAAAATATTTATCTGTACTATCTGTCTAAAGCAAGTGAAGTTCACCTAATCAGATCAACAAAACTCTGCCTGTCAGCAGAACAAACTTTTTATTTTTTTTTTGCACAGAAATGGAAATACTTCCTGGTGCCGCAGACTCACTGCAAGCTTCTGTTCAGCATCATTGATTGTTTTAAAACCCGACGATAGCCAACCGTACAGAAAGCTGACAGATCCGATACTCTGGGCACAAGCTTACAGGTGTCTGGATAAGACGAATTGTCTCTTGTGTTTTTTTTTATTTATTATTCATGAAGCCATCTGCCTCACAAGGTGAGCATCCCAGAAAGAGTGATTCTTTACTGGTTTGGCTGTTCTTGTCATTTAGTAGCAACATAAAATTGGAGTCTGCTCAGTCTTCAGGCCTTTAGGATTGTGTATATTTTTGTGTTTATATCTGATTTTACACATTACTTTTTGGTATGCACAACCAGTCAGTACGTGATACTTCAACTGCGTTGTTAAGACGATACGTTTTAATGTCTTGTGCACGGCAGAATCAAGTACGGAGAGAGATTAAATATGCGATGACCTCTCTGCCCTGGATCAGTGTTCCCACAGTGGCCTTGTTCTTCGCTGAAGTTCGAGGATACAGCAAGTTGTACGACAGCGTCGGTGACTCCCCGCTGGGTAAATCCTGTTCCAGCTGTCGGTGTTTGTTTGGTTCTGTGTTCTTGTTTCCATACATTTGTCATAAGATCCTAAACCTTGAGTGTGTCTCACTCCTGGTGCTGACCTGCTCCGTTCTTCTAGGCTGGGCGGGGATTTTCCTGAGTATGATCTCCTTCCTGTTTTTCACTGACATGTGCATCTACTGGGTTCACCGCTTCCTGCACCACAAGCTTATTTACAAGGTGAGCGTACTCCTCTGATCTTAGGGTTGTTGGCTGCATTTTGGTGGCAGGGTCTTAAAACTTTTGGTCATTTCTCATCAAATTTAAGTCCCTGCTCGAAGTAAATCGAGTAGAACACAAACTAGATCTTTTAAAAGACTTAATACTAACAATAAACTGTTCTGTTAAAGCCAGTATCTCAGTTTTGGAGACAAGTTGGTGTCTAAAAATCAACTGCAAGAAAAGGCACCAATTTTCAGTCGCAGCCTCGCTGAATTTGTACTTGTATGATAAAATGTCTCACATTGCCTTATCTGGGTGTAACTTTGCCAAGGATGTCATCTCAGTTGTCTCACGCATGTCTTTTAATTTTTTTTTCATTCAAACTTTATTTATACAGGCTAGCCTCATTGAGCCACAGGAACTCCTTTACAAGAGGGACCTGTATTGGCGCAACATAATCACTTTTTTCATGGCGACAGTCATCAAACTATTTTGCAAATGTTGTGGTGGCAGATGTTTTCTTTATGGCCGGGTCACATTTAGGATAGGACACGAGGTTCTTATATTTTTAATTATTATTGTCATACGTCTGTCAGAAAACGAATGTATTATGGTATACAGTAAGTCTCTGTCTGTTAGTAAAATTTCTCTTGTCTAGGCCATAACTTGTGATCCACTCAAGATAGTGTACCGAAACTTAACCACTTGTACCACAAGAAATCACAAGACAGTGTGTCACGTAGTCCCGTCATCACCTCGGCTACAAGGTCAAGGTCACAAGTCAAGGTCATATGTTATACAAGGTCTTTGCTTGTAAATGGACAGTACTTATCTAGCGCCGTTCTATCTAGAACTGTCATTTCTAACCCGGACCCCAAGTCCGGCCCGGGCTTTGGGGCTGGGTTGGTGTCGGGCTTTTGATTGTATCAGCAGACATGCACGGCTGACTATCCAATTATATGGCAACATGGCTTGCCATAAATTCTAAATGTATGGCAACATGGCTTACCATACTTTCCAATTGTATGGCATCCTGGCTTGTCTTACATTCCAATTATATGGCAACATGGCTTGCCATACTTTCCAATTATATGGCAACATGGCTTGCCATACAATCACCAGCCCCACGCGGCCATTTGACCGTGTGCTGACCGGCCTAGAAAGAGGTAAAAAAATAAAAATAAAAGTTCATTTAAGCTTCAGAAATAGACTAGACTACCAGGAAGTGATCCATCAGCCCAAATGGACGTTCATTCAGCCGCTGCACTCAGTGTCTTGCCCAGGGACATTTCAACATGTGACTGCTGGTGGAATTGAACCCCCAACCCTCCCATTGGAGAACGGCTGCTCTAACCACTCAGCCACAGCTGCCCCATAGCTTGTCCGGGCCATTGCTATACATTGCTGTCTAACAATTAGACGGTGGGTGTATAATGGTCAGTAAGTGCTGTCTTCAGCTGGTCACAGTTTAGCCGCCACCTTCTCGCACAGTTTGTGCACTCTGCTCAGATTTTTCTGTTGCAGAAACTAATTTGAGAAGCTATTAAGAAGGTTTGAGACGAAGCTTCTCGGTGTCTTTCATCTTTTAGATGAGATTTACCAAAGAGTTGCATTTGGTTGAGTTCAGGGTTTCAAAAGTTGGCCCTTGTTGACATTTGTTTTTCCAGATTCACACATTTATTGACTTAAAGGTCTCTCGTAGACTCTGAAACAGACAGAAGCAACTTGTAGAGAAAAACAAATAAGAATGATCGATTTTCTTTTTTACCTGCCCGCAAGACATCTGGCAGCTCGCTCTCATTCCTGCTGTACGGACCGTCCTCTGCAGTCCAGACCAAAATAATAAACCGGTTTACTGCTTTAGAAAGCTGTAATTATCTGAAAGTGTGGTCCAACGCAGCCTGCAGGGGACGGTGTGATGGGATTCCTTCATATGTTGTGGTTTCTACGTTTGTCCCCTGAGAGGCTGAGGCATCACCAGCCGGTTTTATCTGGTTCTGAAAAATGGAAGAAAAGTGGATCTCACCAGCACAAATGATTCATAAACATTCACACAATAAAATAGTTGACTATTTCTATTGCGGATAGTTGTTTTTCCAGTAGTTACCAGGTTCCTGATTGAATAAAACTTCATAATAATGCAAGTAAATTGTATTGAATCCAAGATAAACGGATCTTCTCGCCCCTGACAGGTGTTTCACAAGCCCCACCATGTATGGAAGATCGCCACTCCCTTCGCCAGCCATGCCTTTCACCCAGTCGACGGCTTCCTGCAGGGCCTCCCGTACCACATCTACCCCTTCCTCTTCCCCCTCCACAAGGCGCTCTACTTGGCTCTTTACGTTTTCGTCAACATCTGGACCATCTCCATCCACGACGGCGACTACCGTGTTCCCAGCGCCCTGACGAGTGTCATCAACGGTGCGGCTCACCACACAGATCACCACCTCTTCTTTGACTTCAACTACGGACAGTACTTCACTCTGTGGGACCGGCTGGGGGGTTCCTACAGGCACCCGTCAGCTCTGATGGGGAAAGGCCCCCTCGATCTGATCCGGAAACTTCAAGCGGAAGGAAAGTTGGTTAACGACAAGTCAAACGGACACGCTCAGAGAGGAGCCACTTCTAAGGAGGAGTAAGGATGTTAGGATTAATTACAGGAGGTGATCGCTACTTTCATAGAGACAAAAACTGTCCCAAATTAGCCCCGATTTGCCAAATATGAGATTTTAATTTCATGACATGTTTTCCATTCGTCCACCTTGTGGCAAAAAAGCATCCGGGTCACTGATACAGAGACTCGAGGAGCTACAGAAAAATGGAGCTGCTGCACGACTGAATAAAGACGAGTTTAAAAACGGGACTAAATCTTTAGCAGCCATGCCAAGTTTGCACTTACTCTCCGTTACAGAGAGGAAAAAGAAATGAACGCCCTAACCCTTAAAATAAACTTCTGCTCAGCAGAAAGACTTTCAGGTAAAGACATATCACAGGTTTAGTTACAATAAAGCAGATGGAAGGCTCTTATCAAACTCTTAAATACGTTATTTTATGAATGTATTTTTTCCATTTTAACCTGCACAGCTTTAAAACTTCACAGAGACTCACGTTTGTTAAGGTCACAAAGTAACAAAAATAAAACTCGTTCAACCATAAATGGTTAACTTTTGTAAAAAAATTAATAAATAAAATGCCTGTTTTTTTGGGGTTTTTTTTGTTATTTTGTATCCATGCCATTATAGTTCCATTAGTATAGATCTGTTATTGGGGACTGCCAAGGCAGCACCCATTATTATCCACCTGACAAGGGTTTCTTAACTTTATACCTTACTCTTCCGTCAACTTTAATGCGGCCCGAATCGCAACGTGTACCCCCACACATTATATCAAAACGACCGGCTCGGCCCTGTGATGCGTTCTATTACTTTATTGGTGTTTTGAGTTACCATGGTGATGTAGTTTGCAAACAAAGAAGCTATTTTTCTCATTCAAAACACCTGTCGGAGCCCGTACAAAATTCAAGATGGTTGCCAAAGCTTCATTTAAATGTCTTTAACTCAGCCATTGTTTCACATATAGAGCTGAAATTTGGTGTAGTTATAGCTGACAACATTCTCCATCACATTCTGAATCCAAATCAAAAATCCAAGATGGCCACCATAGCTTACAAGGAAAAAAAAATGACTAGATCTCATTGGTTGTTTTTCTTTTTTTTGCTGTTTTGAGCTGAAATTTGGTGTAGTGGTAGCTGAGAGCGAACCCCAGCACATAGTACTGTCAAATCAGAAGTTTAAGTTGGCACCAGCGTGGCAGTCCTCGTCACAGTTTCTCCAGGAACTTTCTAGTTCAACATTTATCAGCAAATGATTTCAGTAGTGTCTGTAAATAAATTGGACAAAATTAAAACAAATATGAAATGACCACAGAAGCTGATGTCTATCAATAATTTTCTCACATGGGATGGGAATCAAATGGTTATTTTGTTGAAAAAACTTTGTTTCCACAATGTTCACAGGAAGTTATGGTTCTGAGAACCCCCTCATGTTGCCTCTTTTTTGGGGGGTCCGGTGTTTTTTACGTTCTTGGGTTGTCATCAGATGTTTTGGGCTTCCTCTCGTGTCGTTAACTGTTTGCACTGATGCAACATGGATTGTTTAATTACACAATTTATGTATTTTCGTTGTGTTTGTGTCATTTTACTCTGATTAAAAAGGCGAATGAACACTTTAAACTAATTTCATTCAAATCATAAACGTGTGTGATTTTTAAGTAATTAGTCAAATTTAATACGAAATGTTGATTTATTTTGTGGGTAGTACCTTTTCTGACCACCAGATGGCAGTATAAGACTGTTTGAACTGAAGGATGGATAGTGAGGGAGCGAGCAGTGTGTCTCTTTAGGAAAAATTGGAGGGAGGCCCCTTGACATGACATGGGCTGTCTCTTCAGTTCTCAAAATGGCGGACGCTTGGTGATTTGAGCTCTGTAGCATTTTTCACACAAAGCTTTTAATAAAAAAAATCAGTAAACAAGTTTTCAGCTTCTTTTTGCAGAGAAAAACTTTTTACACGAAGGAACGGGTTTCAGTCGTGAATTTTGCAGCTCGACAAGACGGAGGTTTTTTCCCCCGAGGTCAGCCTGTTAGCTTAGCTCGTAGCTTAGCTTCTCAGCTTAGCTGCTTTTAACGATCCAAAAACGCGATTTTAGGAGGGTTAAAATGGATTTTAACGAGAAATAGTGGGGTCAGTGAAGAGCACCGGAGTTTTTATCGTGATGGGCCTAAAACTAGATTTTAAATTGTAAATAAATTTTATGTAATGACAATACCAGCTGGATTTTCAGCCCCTGAGCTGTAGTCTCAGTAACTGTCGCCCCCTGAGCAATTTAGACCTGATTCAGGATTTATTCAGCTCTCGACTGTTCGGCTGATAATTTAATCCAGAATCAGTGTTATTGTTCAATCTGTCTTCATGGTCCACTTTGGTTTGCTTCACTGTCAACCACATTACACGCTCCTCATCCTCAGAACTTTCTTTTTCATCTTAAAGCCCAAAGCCAACTTTGACGCCCCCCCCCCACTGAGCCTGTGTATGTCTCCACAGTAGGAGGGGGACCCCCACCTGCTGGTGAAGACCACGTTATACTCTGGATTACATTCATTTTGGGTTATTTTTTCTGCTGCATTACACAAAACAAAGTCATTTTGGAGCAAAATGTGTTTTAATTTCTAATTTAATTCACTTTATGAACTTACAGGGGGGGGGGGGGGGGGGGGGGAAGATGTTTTGCTATAAAACGTCCATTAAAGAGCAGTATAAACATATGAAGCAGCTCCTTTGGTTTGAAGAAAAGCAGCTCACCAAAGCAAAAAATAAAAAAAGATGAAGCATCTTCTCGGCACACGCTCGCTGAGCGTCCAGCTGTCCGATGTGGCGGCGGCCATGACGTCAGCAGAAGAAGAAGGGCATCCAGAGGAAGGAGCGCATGGCCGCTCCCGCCGCCATGCCTGCCAGTAATCCCAGAGCAACACTTTCTGCAACTCCATCAAAGGGATCCCTTTGAACGACCACCTGGTGGGTTCCTGGAACAAAAAAACGGGGGGTGGGGGGCACATTTATATTTAATGCCTCGGCTGTGGTGTTGCCAGATGAAAATGTAGGAAGGACTCGGAGGTGGTGGATCGTGCTCTGATCAGGAACTTTCATGGATTACTCCTCCACTTTCCACCTTTCTGACCCACATGAGTCGCACAGCTGTTGTGTTGCAGAAAACCGCTACACAAAGGTTACGTTTGTGTTTGAAGTATGAAAATGGAGTGGAGGTGTCTGGCAACATAAATAAAAAACAAGTATAAAACTTAAAACAAAAGATTTAACGTGGCTTATAGTTCATATTTTAGCCCCTGCAGGTGTAATTTATGAAGTTAATTAATTTTAGATACTTCCTAGATGTCGTTACAAGAAGATTTAAATTTTGTTCTTGAAAGTTTTTATATCAATCATTGAAAAAGTTTGATGCAACAGAGGCTGATGTGTGTTTAAAATGTTTTAAAGCAGATTGAAACAGTCTTCAGTCCTGAACTGCTAATTTATAAAACAATTAAAACCGTTGAGATTCATTTGTTCACTTATTATCTAAAAACAATAATTTTGCTACATTATTAGATGAGTGATGAGTTTCTACCAGCGTACAGTGACACCGAACAAAATGGAGGTTCTGACCAACGCTTGAGAGTCCGTCAAGACAAACGATGAACTCTGAATGTTGTACAGGAATTGAGTGAAAAGAAACATTTATATTTAAATAAAACAAGAAGGAAAAAAATAGAAGTCAAATACCTTTGTGTTTTATTTCTATATCAAGATGTCTTTAAAAATGAGTACTGTACAGCACATCTGTACAGATGTGCTGTACAGACTGCCTAAAGCAGCACCTCTTATTATCCACCTAACAGGGGTTTCTTAACTTTATATTTTACTTTTCCGTCAACTTTAATGCGTCCCAAACCGCAACATGTACCCCCACAAATGTTATATCAAAACGACCGGCTCGGTGCCGTGATGTATATTATTACTTTTATTGGCGTTTTGAGTTACCACGGTGATGTAATTTGCAAACAAAGAAGCCATTTTTCTCATTCAAAATGCCTGTCGGAACCCCATACAAAAGTCAAGCTGGCCAATAGAAGTCAAATACCTTTGCGTTTATCAAGATATCTTTCAAAACGAGTATTGTACATTACATCGTACTGGTGGTTCATGTTTGTAATACTTTTATTAAACTTGTGGATCTTTTTCTTGATGCTGCAAATGAGAGCACAAAGTTCAAAACTAATTTCTCCAAGAGGACAATAAAGACATTGTGCACTGTATTGTAATATGTTGTGTTATATTATATTACATCATATCATATAGTATAGTATTGTATTGCGTTGCAGCATAGCATAAAGTACCGTAGTGTATCACATTGTGTTGCATTGCTTTCTAACGTATTGTATCATATTGCATTGACTTGACTTGGCCATGTATTCCGACCATCCATCGGTCGGTTCGGGAGGAAGGGGGGGGGGGGGGGGTGAGCAGCCTCAGGAGGTCCAGACATTTCTTCTAGTCCTTCTGGGAGGACTCCAAGGCGTTCCCAGACCAGACAAAAGACATAGTCCTGGGTCTTCCCCAGGGTCTCCTCCCAGTCTGACATGCAAGCATCTCCCTAGTGAGGCATCCAGGGTGCCTGAACCACCTCAGCTGGCTCGTCTCGATGTGGAGGAGCAGCAGCTCTAGTCCGAGTCTCTCCTGGAGGACTGAACTTCTCACCCTGTCTCTAAGAGTGCAGCTACCCAGCAGAGAAAACTCATTTAGTTGCTCGTCTCTGCAGCCTCGTTCTTTCGGTCACTACCCAGAGATCACGACTGTAGTTGAGGTATATGAGAAGTCCTATCTTCTTTTTTACTCTGTCTATATATGTTTATTATTGATGTTATATTAAACAACAAACAAGTAAATAGGTTTTCAAATTTCTTAAAGACAACTTCAAATATTTAGGCAGGTTTTATCTTTAATTTCCACTTCAGTCGATATTTGTTCTAAGAGGATTTTAACATCTGACTGCCACAAACCTGACTTCTGTTGTTTATTCACAGTCATTCAGCGCTGTTCAGCTCATTTTCAGAGCAGGTGGATGTGCTTCGAACTGTTTCTCTACGAGACAAATTACAAAAATTAGCAGCTGTTATTAGCTGTAAAGTTGTTGAGCGCGAACGCAACAAAACATCGATCAGTCTGATTCCCTCTGGATTTTACCTACCTCATGGTGAGAATAATTAGTGCCACATCGACTGTTCTACGTTAGAGGCTGATCACGCTGTGAGCAGGTTTTTAAAGATGAAATGTGAGAAAAGAGGCAGCAAAGCTAAATATGTACGTTCACATGCTGCACGTGTCCTTCGGCTCGTGTGGGCCGTGGCTCTCGATGTGCTTCCATGAGAGAACACACCTGGTCCGGCTCCAGGTGTGATGTAGACGGTGTGGTGGCTGTTCAGGGGGACAGCCTGGTACGAGTCGTCGTACGGGTCGTAGAGGAACACCTGCGCAAGAGGAGAACGTTAGTTTAATCCCCGAGCGGGAACGAGTTGACGTTCTCGCGGAGAACTCACCGGGTTTCTCCTGGCCTCCAGCAGAGTCAGCTTCCACGCTCTGAAAGGGAACAAACACGCATGAGGTTCTGTAGACGCTGAAGGGAAACCAGACGGGGTGGATGGGCGGTCACCTACAGAGCTTCATCTTCACTGTTGGCACACAGGTTGAGCGTCGAGCCGTCTCTGAGCTGAACCACCATCAGGTTCTCCCTGGGGTTGCTCTCCGGCGGAGTCGCACCTGCGGACAGAAACCAGACCTGACCGTTGAGTTCTCATTTTCTTCTGCTCGATCTCGCTCCGCAGTTTTGGAGCTACGGGAACAATTCACATCTCAAAACGTTCAGGACGTTCCTGCTGTGACTTTCAGTTTTTGAAATGCACCTTTTAGTCGACCTTTTACTGCTCGTTTCAGTTTTTCTGCTTCAGCTTTTTTCAGCTACTTTCTGCTACATTCAGCTTTCTGTGTTTTCAGCTTTTTAATCTCCTTTAAGCTTCTTTCTCTTCATTTCGTCTTCTTTCTACAATTTTCTTTTTTCCCCTCCTTTCTTAGCTACATTTAAGATTTTTTCGTTTATTTCAGCATTTTGGCTACTTTTCAACTAATTTAATCTTGTTTATGCTCTTTCAGCTCTTTTTGTTGTTGCTAGTTTCATGTTTTGTGTTCTTTTAAGATCCTCTATTTGGGGACTGCCTAGTAAGGCACCTATTATTATCCACCTGACAAGGGTTTCTTAACTTTATATCTTACTCTTCCGTCAACTTACGCTGTGATGTGTGCTATTACGTTTAACGGCGTTTTGAGTTACCATGGCAACGTAATTTGCAAACAAAAAGCTGTTTTTCTCATTCAAAATGCCTGACGAAACCCATAAATTTCTAGAATTGTGCCGCTCGGGGTGGCTGCATGTTGGAGCAGCTCTGTCACATTCAGAGTTATTGCTTTTGAAAACTTTAATTCCTCTTTTGTCTGGATGTAAATCACTTTTTTCGAATGATTATTTACTCTGATATCGGATGCTGTGCAGCTGGATTTTTACTGAAACCTTTTTACTTTGGGGCATTTGTTATGATGCGTAACCATGGCAGCAAGGTGTTTGTTAACGACCAGGAGCAGCTGATTAATTTCAAAAGCTCAAATACTTCAACTACAGCCCCAAATCCTAAATGAATTGAAAAGGAGGCGCCATGGACGATTCCCGTCAACCTGGCGGTAGTGCTCGAGTACTTGACTGCGGAGATCCTGGGACAACAGGAGAACTGGGATCATCCCCCGGCACCTTCATCTGTCTGTCCATGGTGATGAGGAGCTCAGCAGACTGCTGGGAGGAGTGACCAGCAGGGAGGAATTCTGCCCAGCATTCGGGCAGTCCTGCTGCCCAGGAGGACCGAGAGGCCCACCAGATGTGACAACAAGCTGGATCTGGGTGGATGGATCGTATCTGTGGCCAGATTTTTCGGATTCGCTGCAGGAGATCCTTCCCGCCCACAGCTATCAGCATCTAACAACTCTTGAATGAAACCAGGATGATGAGCTATGACAACACTTAATTTCCATTTGGGATTAATAAAGTAAGATGGCTGCCAAAGCTACATTTAAATGTATGTAACTCAGATATTTTTACACATATAGAGCTGAAATTTGGTGAAGCTGAAAACATTCCCCATCACATATTGAATCCAAATTCAAAATCCAAGATGGCCACCATAGCCTAGAAGAAGAAAAAAACTGACTACAACTCATTGATTTTTTTTTTTTTTTTTTGCTATATTGAGCTGAAATTTGGTAAAGTGGTAGCTGAGCGCAAACTCCAGCACATAGTACTGCCAAATCAAAAATTTAAATTGGCAGCAGCGTGGCAGGCCCCGTCAAAGTTTCTCCAGGAACTTTCTAGTTTGAGCGTTTTGTTCTCCTTTCAGCTTCTTCTTTCTGCTTTTCAGCGACAGGCATCTACACTTTCTCTAGTTGTTGTTAAAATGTCCCAGTTTAGCCAAAGACGTTGCTGTAATGTACCTCCACACTCCAGGCCGGACCGCACATCGATGCACGCCGTCTTGAGGCTGATTCTTTGCTCCAGATCTCTCCTTTTGTCACATTTGTAGAAGCAAAGACTCCCATCGATCCAAAGGTCACACCAGTTCAACTTCCATCGTTTCAGGACGGCACCTGGAGAGCAGAGACGAAACGTTTTAGGAAGAAATGGTGCAGGATGCAGGAAAATGACAATCATCGGGTTATTTTAATTATGAATTTATAGATTCTGACCATATTAAATGAGTTATTCTTGCAATAAGAAACATTTAAGAAATGCACTGAGAGAACAGAAGAAGTTCATTTCTTCTCTGAGCCGGTCATTGGATACAGTCGTACAAGGTGGTGCTTTCCCCAAACTTAATAAATGACCATATTATTTGACGTTTTTCTTCTTTGAGCTTCTGGTAGTCAAAAGAATTGACCCACCTTTTTGCTCTAGAGCCGGAGTCTCTTTGAAGCTTTGACCAAAACTAATATTAAAATTGCATCTTATTGGTTTTCGTACCCACAAAAGACGAGTTTGAGCCAAACGTGTTGATTAAATTTAGCCACTTCATTTATTAAACATCCAGATGTACTGTGGGATCTTTACGAATACTTCAGACATGTTGCTTAGAACAAATACGAGTCAATTTGATAACAGTAAGAATTGAAACATAAATACAGTAGTCCCTCGTTTATCGCAGGGGTTTGAGACCACGCCCCTACCCCCCAGTAGTTCAAGTTCAAGTAAACTTTATTGTCATTACCATCTCATGTGGTACATGAGATGAAATAAAGTTATGTACACAAATAATAAGTAGTAGCAGTAGTAAGTAGTAGTTTATTTTAGTATTTATATAAAGGTAAATATAAAGGCGTTTTAAACCCTTCCCACACTCTTAGAATGTCCCTAACAATTATATAAACTGTAAACACTCTAAAAGAGCACAGCATGTCATGATCTCAGCTCTCTGCCTCTGGCTGCACTCTTGGCCACACCCACTTCTCTGCTGCAGAGCGGAGATCTGACACAGCTGCAGCTGTGGGCTGCACACAGGTGCAGCAGGTGCTAAATAATTTTAAATAATTCATTTTAAATTAAAAAATCCATTCCGATCGTGCAGCTCATCCATCAGTCAGCCAATTGTGTGTCTTGTTCAATCTTATTTTGAAAAACCGCAATAGAGCGAGTCCATGAAAAACGAACCGCGAAGTAGCGAGGGACTACTAAACATATTTATTTTTAATTTAAAGGATTCTAAAAAAAAAACTAGATAGCCAACACTAGTCTAATTCTTATACTCACTTTAACATTATGCTTTATTACTTAACAGTTACTATTATTATGTAATTATTTTCCCACAGATTAGAGGACTAACGTTGGCCTGAAGAGATCAGTGTTACAAATCTTTATCAAAACTATCAATATTTATTTCTTCTTTGCACAAATACAGTTTTTTCTTCTGTCATAAAATGAGAAAAGTTCACTAAATGTTGAAACTCGTTCATGATGTCATCCCCACCAAGTACTGATTTATGTTTGATATTTGGTTAAATAAATAAAATTAATTAATAGTGATTAGCCATTGTGCGTGAACACAACTAAGTCTGGAGCCTTTTTCAATCTAACTCAGAGTTAAGAGTTTCACTAAACCACGCTGCAGAAAATTTGAATAAAACAATTATAAGAGGAACCAAAGTCCCTGAAAAATGTAAAAAAAATCTGAGAGAAAAATAATCTGGCTGCTTCAGAACAAACTATAAAACCTGCTGGATGATAAGAGATTATCTGCCTCTTCTCTTAAACCTCCACGTTCAGATTTAGAACATCGAACTTCTTACAAAAGTCAAATGTTTGAACTTGTAGTTGCACATTCAGGAGCAACGCTTCTCCCAGCTCATGCTGATGACCCTTAAGCCACTTAAACACACAGCCGAGGACAAATGATCGGATTATAAAACAGAGTTTCACAACCGGCACAGTTTGGTGCTTTCTAGAAACGACTTCCTGCGATGTTTGAGGAAACGTTTGATGTTTTCTTGACACTGAGCGGCGCAGTTAGTGTTTTATAAATCATAAATACATTTTTTTTAAAGAGAGAGCACTTCGGCTGGGTTAGAGCAGCAGATGGTGAGCTTCAGCTGTTTTAACGGGCTCGTTGCTGCTCGGGTTGTGAGGAGTGGGGACACGTTGGACACGTCAGTCCATCACAGGGACACGTGGACACATTCACCTGGCTGGTGTCAGATATGTAGGTACAATAACCCGTTTTATTTAAATAAGGTCGTGTCTCATCATTTTATTGCTGAGAAACAAAATGTCAACCTTATTCTGAACATTAATTTATCGGGGGGAGGTGGGGGGGGGGGGGTCTGCTCTTGGTGAGAATGGTCTTTCTGTTTCAGTCACACCAGAGGTCAGAGGTCGTTGGGCTCCGGTGCAGCAGGGGGTCTCTGATTCGTGTCGTCACTCGTTTTTGTTTTCCTGCTGTCAGCGATTTAACGAACCACTAAATGAAGAAAGATGCATCCAGAGAGTCTGAGGTGAAAAGTCTCCTGCTGTACGTTGAATTTATCTGTAAACACTTCAGGGGTGTCCAAACTTTTTCATATGCGACAAAACTATCGAGATGAAAGGACTTGTGGGCCACAAAAATGTGAATGTAACTCTCAACGTGAATTTTATTTTGGAAAAAGGACAAATTTACTAATTTTGGTGAAGAAAGAGTTTTAAATTTTTGTAGATCCAAAACATTAAAAGCCTCATAAACACTAAACTTATATTTTTTACTTAAAAGGATTTGATTTATTTGATTCGTTGGGTCTATGTTGTTGTTTTCTTGTGTTTGGAAAGTTCATTTTAGTCTGTTCTCAGCAACAAAAGTGTAATTTGAGTTAAGTGTCCTTTTTAAAAGAGGATCGATCAGCCTTTTGGAGCATGAACCGGCCCAAAAGGCTGATCGAAGTTCTGAAAAATCATCCAGCCGTCAGTCGCTACAACAGACTCATAGAAGGTTTGATAAAGTTGATCAACTCGTATGCAGATGATACCACGCTATGTTCATTTAAAGATGTCTAATTTCCCTCTTGATTATTTTATCACTTGCAATATTTAGCCCAGTTTTATGAATCGTTATCCAAAAGTCTCCTTTTTGGTAGAAACCAGTAAAGGTTTGTGGTGGTTTGTACCATGAAGTGAAAATAAAAAGATTACCGTATTTTTCGGACTATAAAGCACACTTAAAATCCTTAAATTTTCTCCAAAATCGTCAGTGAGCCTTATAATCTGGTATGCCTTATTATGCATTAATTCTGGTTGTGCTTACTGACCTCGAACCGATTTTATGTGGTACAACTGAACAACGTTGAGAGTTATTGTGAATGAGTTGAATGAAGTTTGACTTATCTGACTGTTTTGTTTCGCTTAATGCGCCTTATAATCCGAAAAATACGGTGTAGCCAAAGGTTTGTATTTTACTTAGTATTGCTCATTTTGAGAAGATTGTTTTTTATCTATTTCACTGTTAAACCTAAACATTATATTAAAAAAAATATTGCCAACAAATTTGCAGAAAGTCTGCATCGACCTCTTAAGCCTGCTGGACAAAATGACACCATTCTTAAACTGCGGCTGTGGGCCGCAAAATATCACTGCAAGGGCTGCAAATGGCCCTCGGGCCGTACATTGGACAGATGTGAAATCGACTTGTTTTATTTAAATAAATTATTGTGTAGAAAAGATAAAAACATGAGCAGAACGTTGGAAAAATTGCAATCTGTGTACAACCGATTATTTTTATTATTATTAATGGGGCAGAAAATAAGAACATCTAGAGATAAAATATTTCAGTCAAACAAACATCATAAAGTAAAACTGTTGACTTACTTTGCCTCCACAGCCAGCCCGACTTCAAAAGTGCCATGTTTCTCATCCGCTGCTCTTTAGTTGTTTTAGATTAAATAATCCAGCAGAAATTAGAAGGAAACCGTTAAAAACGTAACTTTATATGTGATGATTTGAAGCAGGATCTGAACCTGACCGTCTGCTCTGCGTCTGTTTACGTTCCTTCTGTTTGTGTGTGCGTGTGTGTGTGGGGGGGGGTTAATCTGGTTCTCAGGATTGACCCACAGGATTCTTCTGGATTAGGTGACCACACCCTCTCAATTTGTCTCTCCTCGCTCATTCTGGGCTGACGTGGACCCCCTCCATCATGGACTCTTTGACACACATGATTTAAACTAAACCCCCCTTGGACTCATGCTCTAATTAAAATAAACTAACGAGGTGTTTTACAAGTAAACTCCTGCGCTGAGTTAAGAACGTGAGGATTAGCCTCCTCGACCTCAGGTCAGTTATAAGCGTCTTCCCTGCTGCAGGTGACATCACTTCCTGTTTATAGCTCAGAGAAAGTGCCGCTCTCTTTCCTGACAGCTGAGTCACCTCAACGTGTTTCTTTTTGTTTGTTCTGATGAACCGTCAGTTCAAACCCCCGTCATGAATAAACAGCACTGAACCACCGTCCAGGCCGTTGCTCTGTGGTTGGGATGAAATGTCTTCAGTGAGTCGAGCTTTTCTGTCGTCCCGTTTGATGAGGTGCAAATAAATAAAAATAAACGTCACACATAACCAAAAAAACACACACATAAGGTTTGAAATCTCACCACGCTGCGAGGGTGTTGCGCTCAGAGGAAGAGTTGTGAACCATTTTTAATTACTAACTCGTCAAATTTGAGCTCGGCATCTGTAAAACTGACCGAGTCATGGTCGATTTGGTGGTGGACGATTAGCTGTGGCAGCCATCTTCAGTCAAGTTGTCTCTGGTGGACCTGTAATGCCTTCTCTGTTGGTTTGAATATTTAGTTTAGATATAAATATTTTTTCAATAATGTTTTTAATCAGTGACAGTAGGCTATATAGTTATTTTAATTTCTTTTTCTTAGTTGTGCAGCTTTCAGACTGAAGGCCTGCCTGTGAAACTCACAGCTCACCACTGGTTGTTTCCAAAAAAATATCTGCAGCTTCCATTACATTTTGTCCAGTTGTTCATCAGACATTTTACTAACAGACAGGGTTTACTAACAAGTCATTGCCAAAGAATATGTGTTGAAGATGACTTCCAGCTATGAGCACAACAAATTTAGCTCAATGTCTGTAAACTTCAGACTTTCAGCCATTTTTCTGTGATCAAAGCTACATGCTGCCACCTGGTGGCCATGACTGGTAACTTCAGCCTGCAGAGGTTAAACTGCTCATGTGTTCTGCTACACTTTATATTCTGATTTATAACAACAAAAACAATTATTAAACTTTATAGATCTTTTGGGTTTATTAATATTTCATGTAACAGATGAAATGAACTATCATTTTTTTGAGGAAAAAGCTGTTTTTTATGCTGAAATCACGCAGTTTGAGTCGGATCAAAAAGGAAATTGTACAGTCATTTTCGATTATGGAAAAAGAAAAGTTCATCTTACATTTTTATTACATTTATACACCTAAATGTATAACTTTTATTAAAACCTGTGCAATGATTAGTATATTTAGTTTTAGAATATGTCAAAGGAAATTTCAGTTTGCTGTTCATTTTTATTGAACACCGATTGGATCCCTTTTTTTTAATTAATATAAAACTGAAGTCTGGATCATGAGAAGTGTATTTTCATTTAAAATGAAGAATAGCTTAAAGTACAACAGTTTGATTATTGCGCTGTGTTAAGTCCAAATAAAAACAGAATAAGGTAATTTATGAATACTATATCAATTATTTTTTTTTTTTATGTTTAAAACCCGGAGTCTGGGCAGGTAATTTACTCAAAAATAGGTCACTTTTGTTGTCAAAAATTAGGTCAAAACGTTTAAATAGGTCATATAATATAGCTAAGACTTCCTTTTAAACATTATAGTTATAATACTTGAAATAATTTTATATTTTAATCCAGTATAAATTAATGGTTACGATTTTGGAGCTTTCCTCCTAGTCTGCGCAGGTAAATAAACACCATTTTTAAAATTGCGTCACTTCCGGTAAAGTAGGCGTGTCTTAAGATGTCAAACTAACCGAAGAAAACAAAAACAAACCGAGGGGCTCCGGGACGGTGAGTACAGAAGGTCCTAACTCTCACCGCATCACGACGTCAATAAAACATCGTTTTAAGTGTGGATATTTAAAAATATATATCCCTCCGCTCTGGCAGCCACCAGATAAGTCTTTATCTTGAGCGAGCTGGATGTAAAATAAACCAAACTGACTGCTGAATTATTATTTTTTTCAGGCGCATTTATCGAGGTATTTTCTTTAAAATAAACCTTATATTACTATCTGAACGTTGACTAAAATTATGCTGTTTAGTTTCTGTATTACAAGCTACATGTTGTTAACAGACTTCGACACACGGTTTGTTGTTGTCGGACGAGTTTCGCCGAACTCTGTTCAAAAACGGCCGTACTTTAACATAATTGCATGTAAGCAAATATTTGCAGACGTTACAGTAAAATCGTTTATCCTTTATACCTCTGTATACATTTACGTTTTATTCGGCTATGTTTATCAGGCGGTGCTCTTTGTTGTTTTACGGAGAAAGGATAAAAATCAACGTACGTTGTTTTACAACTGTCCAGCAGGGGGCAGTAGCGAGTAGAGACTGAACTTTTGTTGTGGAAGCAACTTCCTGCCTGTTATCAGTAGCAGATGTTACAAAGGGTAATTTTGTGGATTTTTTTTTTTTAAATTAACAGAAAAGGCTAACTTTATTCAGTAAGAAGGTGAGATTTGTCTGACATGTGTTGATCACATCTTTTTTTAAAGCCAGATATCACATCATTTTTCAATCTTGTAATGCAGGTTTTGGTGCTTTTTGTAGTTCCTTGACACCTTTGCATGCTTACAAGGTTCCTCTGGTTCTAGTTTCCTTCTCTCTCAACAGGGATGGAGGTGTGTGATCCCACACGTTGCTGAAATCAACTTTCTCTGGTCTCTGCGACATCAGAGGTAAGAATCAGGGCAACCAGGTAAAAACTACCTGTGACAGAAATATCAGGCCGGACCGCTCCAGGTGGACTGAGATCTGGGTAAATAAGAGCCACGTGAGTGGTGGGGATGGACATAGTCCATGTTGAATGTTGTGGCAGTAACAATTATAACAAAATCATGGTAATTGATAATTGCAACGAGCATAAAAACACAAAACTTTATTAATAACGGTGTTTTTAAGATCACAGTTGTGGAAGAAAACCAAAAAAAAAGGCATCCATTTTATTTAAGTTGTGGCTGTTGTGGTTAATTAGGCTGTGACAAAGTTCTAAAAATAAAAATTTCTCTACATACATTTTCAAACTGAAGGCTTAATTCCTTGAATGCACATCACTCGCCACTTTTCATACCAGTTTTAGACTAAGATGCAGAGAAATGATGGATTTGTAGCCGTTTTGGTCAAACCTCGGATGTAACGTTATGCACAATTCTACGTGATGTTGCAAGAGTTCATGCTCAGTGTTCTGAATGACTCTCGGCGAACAAACACCTCATTTTAACATAGCATCTGTAAAACTGACTGAGTTAAAGCCACATTTGTGTTTTATTAGGGCCGTTGATCAGACACATCTGCCTTCTAGCAGAAAATTTAAATTGACTTGACAGAACTGAAATGTAACGCCCTGAAGCCATGATACTTCAGTTTTAGTGCTTGATTGTAATATGATATTATTTATTCTCCGTCCTGCTGCCACGTGAAGAGCACGCCTGCATTTGTTTGGGAGCTCTCCGTAGTATCTCCTTTTATTTAATGCAACGTAAAGCCGTTGGCGCCACAGAATGATGGAGGAGCTGAACAAGAAGGTTATTAAAGCTGTGCGTTTCGTTAAAGTTGCTGCTTTGGTTGTTAAAGCGCAGAGAAAGCGACGCAGCATAGTTGTATGTAAAGACAAAATTCAGCTTGCTGGTAAAGACTTGTCTGTGCGGATCAAACGGGTTGTTCCTGAGCTAAAAAAAGAACTCATATCAGTGAGCTGCAGCTTCTCAGTGAGTGACGCGTTCCTTCACTATCATGACTGCAGCCCCGGCTGATCCCAGGTCAGAACAGTTTCAATGAACCCCCCGATATTTAAAATGGTTCGTGCTTGAGTGATGTTAGCCAGAGTCTCCAGCTTGTAGATAAACCGTAAACATTAAAATATACCGTATGTGTTTTAGCTTCTTTTAAGTATCCGATGGTTTCAGGGTTCAGATCAAAGTTGTTTTTTGGTTGATATCGCCTGTTTTTAGCTTCAACGGAGGAACTTTAAAACCCTGTTTTTCTAGAAGGAATTCATATCGTCCGCCGCCTTTTGAACCAGTTTTATATTAAGATCATCTCCTGCACATAACAAGAAGTCATGCTCTATTATGTGTTGTGAATGACTCTCAGCTACTACCACCCCAAATCTTAACTCAGTACCCGTACAGTCTGCTGTGGCTGAGTGGTTAGAGCAGTCGTCCTCCAATGCAAGAGTTGGGGGCTCAATTCCACCAGCAGTCACATGCTGAAGTGTCCCTGGTAGGCCTGTCACGATAACAAATTCTGCTGGGCGATTAATCGTCTCAGAAGTTATTGCGATAAACGATAATATTGTTTGAAATTTGACAATAATTAGTAATTATTGTCAAATTTAAGAAGAAATGTTGCTTAATTTGTTTTGAATGCAGTACCTTTTTTGACCACTGGATGGTAGTTTAAGACTGTTTGAACCAAAGGATGGATAGTGAGGGAGCGAGCAGCATCTCTTTAAGAAAAATGGGAGGGAGGCCTCTTGACACATGGGCTGTCTCTCCTTCATGGTCTTCGTTTCTCAAAATGGCGGACGCTCCATGTGGTTTGAGCTCTTTAGCTTAGCATTTTTCACACAAAGCTTTCAATAAAAAAATCAGTAAACAAGTTCTCGGCTTCTTTTTGTAGAGGAAAACAACTTTTTACACGACTGAGTGACTTTAGAGTGCTGTATGAATGGGTAAATGAGGCACAGATTGTGTTGTAAAGAGTTTTGATTATCTCGATAAGATAGAAAGACACTATATAAGTACAGTCCATTTATCATTTGTGTTCAGTGATAGCTGTGGCGGCCATCTTGAATTAGAGTGACTCCAAAAGTTAATCAGTTATACATTTATACTTACTTTCTGAAAGTTTCATTAAATTCCCTTCAGTGATCCAGGAGATATTTTGCTAACGCACCAACATCGTCCATCTTACATCACTGAACTGCAGTTGAGTTGTTTTGTTTTCCTGCCTGCGCAGCGGTGGAACCATGGACTCCTCTGATGAAGAGGAGGTGCGCACCTTTGTCCAGGTCATCAGCGAGAAGTACAACCCTGAGAACTTCCCGTACGGCCAGGGGGTCGTGGTTCTGCCGGGCCCTCCAGGGTCCCCCGTCAAAGGTGAGACGCGTCAGGCCCGCGGCGCCACTACGATCCGAGTTTGCCTTAAAACTGAGTGAGGTCTGTGCGTGTGCAGACCGCCTGTTCCTGCCCAGCGCTCTGGTTCTGAACGACTGCGGCATCAGTAAAGCTGGGGACCGGTCCAACATCGCGGCGTTCTGCGGTCACGTGCTGGAGCTGGACCTGTCCCACAATCAGCTCAGCGACTGGGGAGAGGTGGGGGCTTCTTTAAATTAATATTTATACACCTGCGTTTCTCTTCTTGTTGCAAATGAAATCTCTTGTTTGGGGAAGAAAGTTTTTTTTTCAACAGTTTCAATAAAAATCTTGAGCAGTCAGAGTATGTGTTGGGGACCAGTCTCCACTACTACCACACCAAGTTTACCTCAGTACCTTTAAAACGGAGTTTTAGCCATTTGTGTGTGTGCTAAAGTCGATTAGCTGCAGCGGCCATCTTGGTTTGTTTTGTCTCCGACTGTAAATCAGTTGTAGATGTTACAACTATAGATTAATTTCTGTAGGTAAAATTAAAATCCATCCACTTTTTCTTGAGATATTTTGCTAACAGACAAACCAACAAACACATGACCATCTTTCCTAGAATGGCAGATTTGTACGTTTTTGTCAATCAGATTTATAGAATGTATTTGTGGGTGAGAAAGTTGGAAAATAATTTAGAGTTACGTTTATTTAAGTTTACATTGCTTAATGCATTTTAAAGGTGTAGCTTTTTTTATTTTATAAATGTTTAACAGAACAGAGTAAAGTAAGATTTCCAGCTTTGTGTTCATTTTTCTTTTCTGTTATTATTTTCCTCAGATTGGCACCATCGTCTCCAACGTCCCTCGCCTGAACTTCCTCAACCTGAGCATGAACCCTCTGAGCGGCGTGCAGCTGCAGCCCAGCATGGCCGACGTCTTCTCCAGGGTCCGACGGCTCGTGCTCATCAACACGCAGATCAGCTGGGACACCGTGCACACACTCACGCAGCACACACCACAGTGAGTGAGGCTGCCGATTAATAAAAGACGCAGAAGTCGGTCGGAGCAGGGTTTGGACTAAACGATCCGTCATTTCCAGGCTGAAGGAGCTTTTCCTCTGCCTGAACGGCTACGACACCGTGTCAGAGTCCCAGGCGTCCTGTCCATCTCTGAACCTGCTGCAGATCACCGACAACCGGCTGCAGGACTGGGCCGAAGTCCGGAAGTTTGGGCGGCTCTACCCCAGCCTGAGCACGCTGGTCCTGGCCAAAAACAGCGTGAACTCCGTGGAGGACACCAAGGAAACGCTGGAGCGTCTGTTCCCCAACCTGCGCAGCATCAACCTCAACAACTCAGGTTTGGATCAGAGGGAATGGGCTTACAGGGGATGACATGACGCTTACACACACATCCCGGCCACCCGGTTTTCTAACTGGTACCATGTAACAAGCAGTTTAGGACAACAAGAGCCACAGCAACTGACTCAGAACCAGCTTTTTCCCAGGGCTGTGGCCTTTTCCACACCCACACCAGAATGCAAACATGTCTTTTATTCACAATGGTATGGGATATTGAAACTAATATCCATCCATCCATTATATTTTACTTCTTTATTTCCTTTTTCGGGTTGTGGGGGTTCACTGGTGCCCATGTCCAGCCATCGCTGTGCGAGAGGCGGGGTACACCCTGGACAGGTCTCCAGTCCATCATAGAGACAAACTTTTACACACAACCATTCGCTCTCACTCACACCTAGGGACAATTTGGAGTTAACAGTCAGTCTGACATGCATGGAGAGAACACGCAAACTCCACCCAGAAAGGTTCCCGGCCGGGATTCGATCCAGTGACCTGCTCGCTGAGAGGCAGCAGCTCTACCAGCTGTGCCACCGTGCCACCCTGAAACTCCTAAGTGCGACATGAGCTTGTTTGTTTTTGTAGGTTAACAATGTTACAGTCGAGTTCTGGACAGCCTGAAGACGGTCAAGCTCCTTCTTGTTTAAACTGTTACAGTAGTCCAAACAAGAAGATATAAAAGCACGAGTGATCATCTCAGGTTCCGTTTTTGACAAGTAACCTCAATTTTGAGATGTTCCCAGATGGACGTGACTGTCTCTTGTTTTAAAGACATCGCCGAATCAAAAATGACACTTGTGTTTCGGAGGCTGGACTGAAGAGAAGGACCTCAAACACCAATGATGAGGGAGTTTTTCCTTTCCGCTGTCGCCTTTATATTTGCTCAAGATGAGAATTCTGTGATGAAGTTAAATTCAAAGCAGCCTGCTCCTCAGATAAATAATATTAACTTACTTTTTATGTCATGTTGTTTCCTCCCAACGACACAATCATCAACCACTGCATTGACCTTTCCGCTCTAGCCCCTTTAGAGAAACAAATCTGGGAGTGGTAATGGACCCTTCCTTGAAATTTAACAGTCATTTAAACATGATTGTAAAATCCTGTTTTTTCCAACTGAGGCGTCTGTCTAAGTTGAAGCCCACATTGTCCAAAAATAACCTGGAGACAGTGATACATGCGTTCATAATGTCCAGGCTCGATTACTGCAACTCGCTCCTGTTTGGTATCAGTCAAACCTCCATTGCACGACTACAACTGGTCCAAAATGTGTCAGGGTTTTTAACCAGTACAGGCAAAAGAGAGCACATTACACCAGTTTTGGCCTCACTGCACTGGTTACCGGTTCACTTTCATATCCAGTTCAAAATACTCTTGTAGGTCTATAAATCACTGAACAGCTCTGCACCCTCCTATCTCACTGATCTGCTGCAGCCATATGTCCCACCTTGTTCTCTAAGGTCAATGGACCAGTTGCTCTTCACAGTTCCAGGAACCCGTCTTAAGCGCAGAGGTGACAGGGCCTTCTCTGTCGCAGGCCCAAGACTGTGAAACGAGTTACCTCTGCTTGTCAGGCAGGCCCCCCTCCCTTACAGTTTTTAAATCCCGCTTAAAACCCACTTCTATTCCCTGGCTTTCAACACTATGATTTGTGTTGAACCTGTATGCATCACACTGTGTTAGTCAGTATGTTATTATCTGCTATTATTTTGTTTCTATATTTTGATTTTACGTTATGGTATCCAAAAAAGTTCAATCTGGTCCTCTGGACATTCAAAAAACAAAAAACAAAACAAAGCAAAAAAATAGAAACGTTTCGTCTCTCATCCAAGAGACTTCCTCAGGCTGAGGTTTCAGCGGTCACTCTTTCAGGGATGAAGATGTTCACATCCTGGACAGAGAGGAACGATGGTTTGAGAGAGGAGTAAAGGAGGCCATCTTTGTGAAAATAAATAGTCGATCGTTAAACAGGGGTGGAGGCCTCCAGGTTCAACTGTCCCCCTCTTACAATGCTGTGATTGCTAGTATCACTCAGCCCTCTGTGAACAGTAAACAGCCATCAGTGTGCTAATGATCCATTGTTAGGCTGATGGTCCTTCTTGAGCATGTGATCAGCTGGTTTTGGTTGTCAGCAGCAAACTGGTTGATCCACTCTGAGAAGGTGCCATTTATGAGACTGAGCTGAATACAGCACCTCAGACTGAGGAAGTCTCTTGGATGAGAGACGAAACGTTTCTATATTTTTTTTGCTTTGTTTTGTTTTTTGTTTTTTTGAATGTCCAGAGGACCAGATTGAACTTTTTTGGATTTTTCTACCTGGATTATTGAGCATGCATCAGGATACGTTATGTTATGTGTTGCTGTGTGCTTTGCTTGTTTGTTTCTGTTTGTACAGCACTTTGGTTGGCCCTGTCGCTGTTTAAAGTGCTTTATAAATAAAATGGTATGGTATGTATATAAATGTTTCTGTTCAGTGCCCTGAGATGAATTCTGTTGTAACTTGGCACTATATAAATAAACTGAATTGAATTTAATAAACTTGCTTTGTTTAGATCAACAGTAGAGCTGGATATCATCAGCTGATATTTCACATTCCTAAACTGTTGAATTGCCTGTCCAAGGAGGAGAATGTATAGGATAAATAAAATGGGTCCTAAAACAGAACCCTGAGGTACACCTCTAGATATTCAGGCAGTGTCCAACATCCCATTTACAGAGACGATATAACCGGTCAGACGGGTAAGATAAGAACCTTTTGAGGACAGAACCAGACTAGACATTGTAATAAAATATGGATTTGAGAGATTTGCAAATCGTTGCATTGTTTTTGTTTGTTTTTACATTTTACACAACGTCCCAACTGTTTCAGAACTGGGACTGTACAACTACATAGACTCGTGCTCTGATGGTCCTCGCCAGAGTGAAATGTAGCGTACATGTAAAGTTCTCACTCCATAGACGATAATCCAGATTTAATTTACTGAAGCCCTGCTCCTGCATAGGCTCTGTGCGTATTTTAAAAAATGCTTATCTGCTTCGAAAACAGCAAGAAAAAAAAAAAAGTCAATTTTTTGTTTTATTCTATAAATTTTAGGATTCATAAAACTTTCTAGCACCAAAACCTGTTGCAGCCCTTTAAGTTCTGTACTGAGTGCATGGTTTAAACAAGCACGTGGAGTAGGACTCAAACTGTGTTTTCTTTTTATTTCAGGTCTTAGTAAATGGGAAGACATTAAAAGACTGAATTTCTTTCCTAAACTGGAGGAAGTCAAAGCTCGGGGGATTCCTTTATTACAGCCTTACAGCAGCCAGGAGAGACGGAGCCTTCTTCTAGCGCAGTAAATGTACCGTTTCATGAGTTCGGTCTTTAAACAAGATGCTACTTTTTATTTTAATTATCGACATATTTCATGAAATCCAGGCTGCCGTCCGTGATGTTTCTGAACGGCAGTGCTGTTTCCGATGGGGAGAGAGAAGACGCTGAGAGGTTCTTCATCAGGTATTACCAAGACTGTCCGGAGCAGGAACTTTCTGAGAGGTACGCTCTCATTCAACACTTTACATTTAACAGTGAAGGACGACCGCTGTGGAAGCACATCGCCCAAACGCTAAATGTGTCTGGTGTTTTTTTAGCTAATGTAATGACAGAAGCTAAAAGTGTTGATGATTATGGCTGCAGTCTGTCTCATGGGTGACGTCAGAGCAGACGCTTCGAGCAACTCGTTTTCTTTGTGTTTTTCCCCGTGAGTCTTACTTTTGCTTCAGTCCAAACTTGTCCTCAAACAGATATTTACTGACGATGTTACCTTTTCCTCTTGGTGCTCATAATAAACAACCCTTTTAAACATATTATTCTGTGAGCGGTAAGGCTGGCTTGTCTAAAAACACGTTAGAGATGTGCTGTTGCTATGTCAGTGCACTTTTTTATTTAAATCCCAGCAGACGGAGCTTGCTAACATCCTACCAGAGCTGCCTGAGCTCCAACTACGTAAAAAGAAGGTGCCTTATAACAGTCCAGGGTCGCTTTTAAAAATAACATAAGCAAGTTTTCTTTTTCAAGAAATCATTATTTCGCTTGCCCTCAACCAAGATGCTAAAAAGCATTATTACACACAAAATGGCTTTTTATATATATATATATATATATATATATATATATATATAT